CTCAGGAAAAAAAAAAGAAAAAAAGAAAGAAAGAAAATCTTGCTAAACAAGGCTGTGTCCTGATAGTCCTCGTTTTACATCTTTATTTAGAGAACCTGCTCATCTTGAGCTGAGTTGATTAGAGTTTCCTGCTGCCGCAAACAGGAGGACAGGTGAGTCACTGCATGCGGAGGACATAGTTTTATTGTCTAGGGGAGAAGGCGCTGTCAAAATCTCTCAGTCTGTTGGGCTTGTGAGGAGGAAGAGATGAACATTCGTTACGACAAAACCACAGTTACTGCATTTGTCTTTCACCGTCGTTTAAACATCTGAAGCCACTCCTGCCACAGATTGATTATTCAGCTATTTAGGAAAGCAGTTTGCAGGTAACTCAATCTACTAAACCTGAGTAGGTTATTTGTAGGTAAGAAATTCTGTGTTCAAGTATGACCCATCTTTAAAAAAAAAAAAGAAAAGAAAAGAGAGAAATCCTAGTGGACGGAGGGACTATGGAGAGTTACTTTTGGTAAGAAAACGGTTCTCAGCTGGGCATGGTAGCGCACACCTAAAATCCCAGCATGGACAGTCTGAGGTGGGAGGATTGCTTCAGGCCAGGAGTTTGAGACCAGCCTGGGCAATAAGCAAGACCCCTTCTCTGAAAGAAAAAAAAAAACAAAAAAAAACCAGAATGGTTCTCCAAAAGCAGGGTGCCTCAGCATTTTAACACATGCCCAGAGTGATCCTGGTATAGGTGGTCCGTGGACCACATGTTAAGAAATACTGCCCTTAAAATAAAATGATAGTATCGACTTTTAATGTTTGTAAGCTAAAACCATCTTGCTGAAGTTGTAAGGCAGAGAAATTTGAAGACTTAATCAAGTTTTATTCTAAAAAATATTCATAGCCTTGTTCTTGCTGCTCAAGTGTTGGCCAGAATGAACTGACCTTGACTCTCACCAGGACGCAAGCCAGGCCCGTCAGGTTCCATCAGGCTGTCAGACAGCTGAAACTTACTGTTCTCACTCTGGCCAAACGCATACACTTGCAGAGCAGACAGCTGGGAGATTTGAGCGTCAAGAGTTGATACTGGAGAAAAACAGGTCTCTCCTCTCCCCATGACACTCCATTTTCTACTTCACTGAAAGGACCAAAGCCATGCCCTTCATCTCCTTCAACGCCCAGAGACTTCCCACACCCTCCCCAGGGCCCTGTGGCTCCCTGCTCCTTCAATGCCCACCAGAGCCTTCCCCGCACCCTCCCCGGGGCCCTGTGGCTCCCTCCTGCCTGGATGGCTCACTGCTCTGCCTCTGCCTCTGACGCTCTTTCTGCCTTTCTCCTTCTCTTTTGCCTGTGACCATGTTTAGGTGTCTCTTGGCCTAAAACAAGTCTCTCATCCATTTGTGTCGTCCTCATCGCTGTCTTTTGTTTTGCCCTCCAGCACCGTGAAGGAGGGGCGTCCCCTCGCTGCCTCTTCTTTACCACGCGCTGCTCGCTCTGCCCCCACCTCAGGCACTTGGCTCAAGCCGTTTTCCTCAGAGCTACCAGAATCTCCTTCCCAACCGCAAGAACGATTTTCTACAGTCCCCGCGCGTCTCGTAAATTCGGCCCCATCCATTTATTTGTTCATGAATTTGACAGATGTGTATTGAGCACCCACCTCAACGTGCTCTCCCTGGCCGGCGGCCCCGTGCCACCACCCAGCCTCACCTTCATTGAAGCTGACGGGTCCTGCTCCACCGTCCACTTTACCGGGCCCTCCATTCCCCTTGCCGCCTCTCTCCTCCCCTCCAGGCCCAAATGACATGTCTCCAGCACTTTCCCTCTCCTGCTGCCCCTCCCTCTCTGGCCACCCTGCATCTACTCTTACGCCTTACAAATCTGTACTCCCTGACTTCCCACCCATATGCTGGCCTCACCCTCCCAGGGATTTCCTGCCTAGCTCATGCAATGCAGCAGGTCCAGGTCAATCTTTCCTTCCAAGCTTTCTTCCTTCCCTCTGTTCATTCTAACAACAGTCCCCCAGACATCCAGCCCAGAAAGCTCTGGGTCCTCTCGATTTCTTCCTCTTCCTTGTCCCCAATGTCCTAGTCGGTACTAGCTGCTCTTCCTCCAAGTGTTTGCCCATCACGTCCTCTTGTTTGCTTTGCCACCTCCTCCCTGTCACTCTGACTATTGCAGCAGCCTCCTCACTGCCCCTGCTGACTCCGGTTCCACAGCCCTGCTCTCAGCCTCCATCACACCCCTGTGGGTTGATCCTCAGCTCTCAGGGCCAGGAGGGAGGGTTTCGGCTGTTGTCTCCTTAGCTTGAACTGCTTTGGAAAACGGCCTGCCTGCCTGCCCTGAAAGGTGTCTGCGTAGGTCCTGGGGACATGGGTAGGTCCCGGTGTCTGCACGGGTCCTGGGGGCATGGGTCTTGTGGTCAGAGGCTGGTGACCGGCATTGCCGTTGTGACACGGATGCCAGAAACCAGAATCCTCAGAGGGAGGCCGTTGGGCCAGAATGACCTTCCTCCAGCTGTGACTGAGGAAAGAGGATTTCCAGCGCGTCTGTGTGCACCTGCAGGGCAGCTTCTGTAACAAGAAACGGCCGCGCCAAGGATTTCTCGTTTCCGCAGAGACATTGTCTTCAGTTTTGCAGCCGGCAGTTTACCTTCAAGATGCATTTTAAAGTTCTTTCCGCTTTCTCTTGGGTTTCCAAATATAACTTTGAGGGAACTGCAAAGGCCGTTTTCCTTAGCCTAGAACAGACGCTGCGAGAAAAAAGGAGGGGTGTATACAGGCGGGGAGAAAAGAGGAGGGGTGTGTACAGACGGAGAGAAAAGGGCAGGTTGAGGTGTATGATCCTGGTCGGCGAGAAAAAGGGAGGGGTGTCACATTTCCAGACGAGGCGAGAAAAGGGAGGGGTGTTAATACAGAGTAGCCAATATCTTTCCACTTCTATCTTTGGCGAGAAAAGGGAGGGAGTGCTATACACGAACCGCGGCTGATGAAAGATGGAGGTGTGTGTAACAGTCAGGACACGAATCAAGCAGACACAAGCGGAGGAGTGGGTGTAATATGAGACGCTCGCCGAGAAGGGAGGGTGGTATATAACAAGTAAAGACGTAGCGAGAAAAGGGAGGGGGATGTATATCAAGGCGCGAGAAAAAGGGAGGGGGGTTTTTTGGAGGGTGGTACACAAGATGGCGAAGAAAAGGGAGGGTGTATATCAGGCAATGAGATAAAGGAGGGAGTGTATACAGGATGGGCGAGAAAAGGGAGGGGTGTATCAGAGCAATGAGAAAAGGGAGGGCGTGGAGTCTATTT